AAACAATCCAAACGCTTCCCGCTGTTTACTGAAACTTGGAGAAAATGCCTCCTTACATCTGCATGTTCATTTTGGAATAATGCCTGACACATTGTTTAATCACACTATGCATTTCTTTCAAATAGAGTTAAAACTTTGAAAAATTCAAATAAAAACTGTTCCTTTCTGGGTATCTTGTATCGCTATTATAAGAGACCGCCAACAACATTTGATCATATTATGGTTGATTTCCATAAAATTGTAATTAAAAACATACAAATGCACAGATGCTCCAAAGACTTACATTAGAAAAGAGCACAAGCTTGTGAGGGAAAATACGGGATGGAAACTGCTGGTCAGAAATATTTTTGGGTGGGGCTTATTAACTCTTCCCAGTTAATTTTTTGAGTTGTCTTTTTTTTTTTTAGTTGCCAGCCACCGTTATCATTTTTGAGCGTTTGCATAAAAGTTTAATGGCACCCAGAATATTTTTTTTGCATGAATATCGGAACATGCAACATGTCAAGACAAAGAACAGAGCCTTTGCTTTTAAAGGGGTCCTATTATGCTTCTTCCCTTTTTTAATTTTAGTCAGTGTGTATGTTTGGGCATAAAAAAGATCTAGAAAGTTACAAAATCTCAAAGTCCACTCCAAAGGGAGATATTTCGTTTTTAAAAAAATCCCTTTTCAAGAACTACAACGAACGGCTCGTTTGGACTACAGCGTTTGTTTTCCGGACTTTGTGATATCACAAAGTGGCTCATTGGAATATCATTACAAATAATTCCCGCCTACAGAAATTCGAATGGTTGGGGGGTGAGGAGGGGCGAGGTTGTGGTTAGAACGCTTGGTTGAGTGCGTGCATTAGTAATGCATTATTTCCTTCAGGGACACTTCAGATGAGCGCTGTTCGTTTGCAGCCTTTTGTGCAATTGTACGTTGTAATATTGTGTTTATTTGATGTATATCTGATTTATCTCATATAGAATGCGTTTGGTTAAGTTAAAAGAGCGCTTCAGTTTACCGGTGATCGTCTTTAGCTCAGCGCACGCAGCTCAAACAGCAGTGCACAACATTAATAACTATGATTGGGAATGTCGTGTATATAACATTCTAATGAGAACATTATTATAATAAAACGTTGTGAATTCTTTGGGTTTAGTTGCCGTGTTTCAGCGCGTTGATATGGGAAGAGCGCATCCACAACAGGATCACACATTCTGACTATAGCACGCAATAACTGCATCATTTTGTACATATATAAGTTATAATATTATGTTTATGTTGTATTAATATTAATCCCAGGATGCATTTCCTTGAGTTAAATAAGCTGCCAGCAAAACGCTTCAGTTTACCGTGTTCATTCAGCTCTTCAGCTTCAGCACGCGCAGCTCAACGGCTGCTATTTAAAACAGTGGTATTAATTTGTTACTTTTTCAAAATCATTGATACATTATTAATAACAACAACCACTTGTATTTTTCTCTTATTATTTTCATCAACAATATGGTTTAGTAATTAAAATCATTTAATTATTGTCCGTGCAGAGGCTATTCCGTTTTATTGATCTATGGCGCATTCATTTTGATTCTTTACACGTGTAATGATGTCCAGTGACTTGTTTGCATTATTTATGCATAATTTTATTTATTTGTAAGACTTTTTTATGACTAAATTTGGTAATGGGAGAGTAAAAATATTTTTAAAACATACACCGTTCAAACTAGGCTGCTTATGTTGAAGTGTTTGGGATGTGGCTTTTAATGATGAGACCTTTTTTGTAATCAGGCTCTCAAAAAGTATATAACAATTTGGATATAGATTTATCGGCCAACATATCGGTTATCGGCTTTCAAAAATAAAGAATAATCGGTTATCGGCCAAAATTTTCATATCGGTGCATCCCTAAAAAAAAATACCGTCATGTACCGTGAAACCGGTATAATTTTGAAAAATACTGTGATATAAATTTTCGGTCATACCGCCCAGCACTAATTAGAACATTCAAGCAGTTTAAAAAAAAATTTTTTTTTAAATGTGCCATAGAGAAAACATTGCTGGCGTGCATCACGATACAAATCAATGGCAATAACATTTTAAGATATGTCAGTGCAAGTTAATTTCAGTTAAGACAGTCTTGCACCAGGCTTAAGCCTTGTCTATGAATCTGCGCATTAAAGATGTTTTTAGATAAAATTCTGTGTCTGTCCCTCCACCCGAGCAGGCCAGAATACAACCGAGGAAAAATAGGTCAGGCTTAGCATTTGCTTGAGCATAAATTTATGATTTATTTCTAAAGCCCTTAATTTAATTTAGAAGAACGAGTGATAGACTGCAGTGACTCAGAGAAAAAGTCTCAGACTGATGGATGTCACTGATGCCCGTTTTCCACCGAAATTGTGCTGGTTCTCATAGCCAGCAAAACTGCAAACAACTCGAGAACATGCAAAGATTTTGTCTTATTTAAACACATTTTAACATCCAGTGCTATTTAATTCAGGATCGACGCAGTTTTGACACACCCATCAAAAGTTACAACGGTCATAACTCAGTCAAGTAACATCCATAAATGTTTTTGGGTAGACGGAAAAAGTCAAACCAAGTACCTAATTTTTTTTAACATTCACTTACGCCGGTTGCAGTTTCTGGCCCAAGATTACCATGTTTTAGGTGGTGTAGCCAGTTTTTTTGAGGTGGGTTAAAGGGGGCTTTGGAGGTGTGGCAAAACTTAGCCAATCACTATAATTAATCAATATAACCTAATGCTTGTGAACTTACCTGAGGCCTCTGCTTGTGCTGTGACTGGCTCTGTGTCTGACCCTGCGTCTGCTCCCAGTTGCCCCGGGCCCGGCTTCCGCCCACTGAAGTCATCATTTACAGTATATACAAATAACAGTATTTACAAAAGGAATAACACCTTTAAAAGAGAAGCAGATGGGAAAATGTTACTGACAACTCTCCAAAAAATTCAAATAACAATCGTAAAAACATCACACGGTCTCGACAAACCACTGAATTAACATTAAATATGCATGCAAATAACAACGCTACACCATGTGTAGCCAAAACTGGAAGTAAACAACGTTGCTGCCTGACGCACTACCCATAAAGCGACGGCCCAAGTTTACCAGAACACCAACAGAAATTAAATTCTAGGAACTTAGAAAGCTTTGAAAAACAAGACCAAATACTGTTTACAAGTCAAGCTGCAACAAGTCAACCATAAACGCGCTTCCGGGGCTCAATATCCTCAGTTTAAAGCTTCTTTAAATGCACACAAAAACACCGTAGCCCTTCACATTTGGATTAAAATTACACCAAAAACTGTCCACCTGATGCAAGTTGCGAAATATTGCATGTGTGGTTATGCCAAACAGCCCACCGTAGCAGCTCTGCGCATAAGGAAATGTGGTGGAAGAAAGCAACTGCGCACTTTAGATCGCGCACAGAATCGGCCAGCGTGATAGAAGCACGCGGGACCAGCCGCGGGAAAACAGACGGACAAAGCTGAACAACAACAACAAAAACTCAACGGCCTTTGAACGGGCTGAGGGCGAGGATGTAGCTGTCAAACTGAGACCATGTTGGAGACGTGAACACAACCACACAGTCCATGGGTGAAAGTCATTTTATATTTCTTGAGCACTCACACTATTCCATACAGTAAATAAAACAAGGATATATGCAACAAGTAAAGTGTCTAGGAAAAGCAGCACATAAAAGGCATTCGTTTCCATGCATTGGAACGTAAACATTACCTAAGAGTATTCAATCTATCTGTAAAATAAGCATCCAACAGGTAACCTACATTACCTGTAGTGCTCTACATCAGATCTGCATACTGGGAATCCCATATTAACTTACCGACTAAAAAGTAAGCAACTGTATAAACTTGGTTAATAATAGAAAAAAAAAATCTTAGGAGGTGAAGGATTATGATAAGTCCAGGCGATGGGCCTTGGAAAAGCAACTCGATATAAACTCAAACATGCAGATCTAACGATACGATATGAAAAATGCGCACAGTTTTTTATAGTGTTAATAGGTTATTGATACGTTAAATAAAATAGACAAGAGCTAGATTATGGGTGGCTTCCGCTCTGGCCGAGTCTAATAACCTCATGGCCGGTTATCGGGCATCATGATGCTGCTGCTGCTGCCCCAAAATTAAACTTTTCCGGTTGCTAATCAACTATATGGTTTCTCAGCGTAGATTAAAGAATAGTTGGGTAAATTGTTCGTTAGATTATTCGACACGATAATATTTTGCGTCTGCAAAACTGGAATGCACACGCCCCCCGGGGTGAGGCGCACTCCCGTCGGTTCCCCTGTACACTCGACACCGAGGCTTCACCGAGGCCTACAGGCCCCGAATGATAAAAAATGAACAACAGGCGAGGTACTAACCAAAGACCCGGCTGGATGTCAGAAATGTGGAGATAACGCCGACCGACGGAGGCTTTATTGTCGACCTCCTAATCAGACGGAAACAAAACACGAACTCCTTCGCGTCCTAAATCGATTCCCCAAAGCCGACAACAAGGCCGAACCGACTCGCGCAGACAATAAACGAAAGGCTCAAAATGTACCTGTTTCTCTTCCACAGCTGACACCCGGATCACCGCGTCACGTGGTTTATCACAGCCACTGCGGCTTCACGCTCAGAGCTCAACCACGTGACGCCAACGTACGCATGTATATATATATATACCAATAGTCTATAATAACAACTTAAACCAGAATTATGCAATATATAATGTTACCCTCTAGCTGTAGTTGGGTATTTGTAATGCAAAAGCCTACCTGATCATTGATACTGATGTCAAAAAATACTTATGACAGCCTACATATTCCGTGAATAAGGACCTTGAAACTAATTTTAAATTAACTTATTTATTTAGAATAAACAATAAATAAGAACAGAATAGGTAACATGGTTGCAAATGTAGCCGTAGGTCGGTAGGTTAACTTGTTTGGGACCAAGTCACCATTTACATACGAATCTTTTGATTAAAACTAGTTACTTGTAACCAGTGCTGGGTAGTAACTGATTACACGTAATCTGGATTATGTAATTAGATTTGAACAATTAAGTATTTGTGATTAGATTAATTCAATTTTAAAGTGTTCATAAACAGATTACAGTTACTTTTTTGTAGATTGCATATTACACAATGGCAATAAATAGAGGCTGATGATGTTTGTGCCGCCCCCGTCTCAGGGCTCGCAGGAAGAGGGGATGACAACTGCTCCTCTTCCTCCCCCTCTGCTGAAACTGCCACGGCAGAGGCGCCCGCCGTCTCCTCCTGCTCCCCTTTAGTGACTGACGAGAGACACAGAAGGAGACATACATCCTTCTTAATTACAGCTGCACCAACAGACATTTTAGACAAAACTGATGAGATTAAACCTTAAATTCATTAGTGTTTCACCAACTGTATTCACCTACTTAATAAAGATGAATTTATACACTACAGTGATAGTGTAAAATGAGTGTAATTTTAAAATATTTTAGAATTTTTTGAATGTGGCCCATTATATCTACATTGAGGGGGGGAAAAATGCTGTTAAAAACAAACATGATTTCTTTTGCACATTGCACAGTTCTCAAACACAAACAGCATCAAAGAACGTGGATCGTTAATTGCTTTCAGATACTCTGAGTTGGAGCAAGTTTAAAGTCTTTTAGATCATTCAGCAGCCAGACGTTCTCAGACTGAAAACCATTTCAAAATAAAAATAAAAGATCAATTTATTGATAAAAAAAATGCAAGCAAAAAAGTACTAATCTAAAAGACACATTTATGGTCCCACTTTACATTAGATGTCTTTAACTATGTACTTTATATGCATGTATTTTATAGGTACAGTGTACTTATTGTGTTCATGTTGAACTGCAAAACACTTTTGCTGCTATTAAGGTGGGATACTGGTAAGGTTAGGGTCAGTTCACCTAAAAAATTTAAATTAAATTGTCATTTACTCACCCTTGTGTCATTCTGATGCTGTATGGCTCTCTTTCTTTTTCAGACCACAAATGGAGATTTTTTTTTTTAAATGTCCCATGCGTGCTCATCCATATACTGGCAGTGTATGGTGATCAGCATCAAGCTTTTAAAAAAGACACAAAAGTATCACAGAGTGGTCCCATGAGACACGTGCCGTATATTCCAAGTGTTCTGCAGGTGTACGATAGGGTTTGGTGAAAAACAATTATTATTTAATGAATATCCTGACGTTGGCTGTTGGTCTCTGTGCACGACTGCACGTTCATGAGACATGAGAGTTCACTTCGACTCACCCAGGAAAAGCACACAAGTTGTGAAAAATCAAGATTAATAAAAACACAACATGAAATGCAATCCATGTACTTTCTTCTGAGGAAACAAATATCTGTTGTGCTTGTCACAACAAGTTATCTGTCAACTGTCAGTTCTGGTCCTGAGATATTCAACTGAGAAATGACACAGAAACTTTTTGGGGGGATTTCTAGGTGTTGTTTTGTGTCGCTTTTTTATTCATCTTGATTTTTCACAACTTGTGTGCTTTTCCTGGGTGGGTCGGAGTGAACTGCTGCGCTAATAGAGTCTCATGAATGGGCAGTCGTGCACAGAGACCAACGGCCATGTTTAAATAAAGTGTAAAATTTTGGTCTGTTTTTCACCAAACCAGCAGAACACTTGGAATATACGGCAAATGTCGCATGGGACCACTCTGTGATACTTTTGCATCTTTTTTTTTTTAAGTCCCCCTTTAGTCAAAAATTGTATCACTTAAAACTCATTTTGAACATCAAAATTACATATTTAAATGTTTTTTCTTGTTAAAAACATTTTTTTAGGCCTTAAAATAGCTTGAATGTAACTCTTCTGTCTACACCCTTGCCCCATTTACTATGCGCGGATCTATGAATATGCAAATTAGCCCCGCCTCCACACAGTCACACCAGCCAGGGCCTCCTGATCCACGGATAATGACTGATAAAACTATGTTTTTACTAGCGGGCAACTACAGTGGATACTGCAACAGTCATTAAAGTTACTTACTTGATGATGTTGTGTCCTCAAAATGCCTTGAAGACTCGAATGCAGCCAAGTTTGTGAATCTTAATTCGCACCCGCGAGCATACGCGAGTGACGTGCAGACGCCGATGCGGGAGAGGTGGGTCTGACTCCGGGCTACTTTTCCACGGTTGCCGTGGGTTATTATTAAAGTTAGCGATTCTAAATTCATGTTAAACCACGGCTTCATGGATTTTTGCTTTATTTTATTTTTGGTTTTGTGCTGATAATTGGTATATTTAGCATGCAGACTCTATGCTATGATCTCTATGCGCGCAGTGTTTGTATAAATGGAGAGAGGGATATGCTAATGACAGGAATCTATCCCTTGACGTGATTGGTTATTGAATTTTGTGACATAGCAAACCTCATTTCTGGGACTGCCATTGGGAAACTACAGTTTTAAGCAGAAAATACTCAGCAATGGTGTTGATTAATGGATTGGCACATGGGTTGTCTAAAAGCAAATTAAAAACACCACATAGACAATAAACAACAAAAACTTGATTTTCAATTCGAACTTGGGACACTGAATCGCAACAGCGCTATATGTTAACACACTGCCCACGAGGCTATCGGTGCCACTTTTTCTTTGTTTTTAAATGCTTGACGCTGATTGCCATACACCGTCATTATATGAACATGTACGCATGTAACTTTTTTTTTGTGGTTTGAAAAAAAGAAAGGCATACGGCATGAGAACAACACAAGTAGGGCTGAACGATTAATCGCATTTTCGATAATATCGCGATATGACAAAACGCAATTGTTTTTTAACCGCAAAGGCTGCGATTACATTCTCGTCACGTGACATGCGAGAGTAAAGCAGTCTGCAGAGGAAGCATCAACTTGGCACACTACGCATATGCCTGGCCTACAGAAAAGCACACTTTATGTTTAATCTATCTAATATTGTGTTAGACATACTATACAACAGAGATGGGAGAAAAGATTCTCAAACGATTCTGAGCTTAGTTTTTAACCACAGATGCGCGATGGCGCTGCATGTGCTTTAGAAACTCATCCTGCTTGCTTCCAATTGCTCTCTCTCTCTCTCTCTCTCTCTCTCTCACACACACCACTCGAACCGTCCACACAATAATCTTTAATAAAGTTTGGAAAGGTTGAAGTAAATTGGACATTCGCACGCTTCACTGAACAGGATGCGCTGTGAGAAACGCTTGCGTTGCTGATGCTTGCAGTGTGTCGTCTCGCCCGCCGGTATTTTCCTTACAAATGCACTACGAACACCTCCTCAGCAGTGTTGCCAACTAATTTTCAGAGAAAGTTGCTAAAGGAAGGTCGATTTGTTGCTAGAAGTTGCTAAATGACGTTGTGATGTCATTGCGCAATGACGTCATTGCGTAATCACGACGCAAAATTGTCACATCATCAAATCTCAGCAAAAAATATATTTTATATACGTTCATTTAGATTTGTCCATGATATAATATTAAAATATAAATAACTGTATTTTTTAGGGATGCACCGATATGAAAATTTTGGCCGATACCGATAACCGATTACTCTTTATTTTTGAAAGCCGATAACCGATATGTTGGCCGATAAATCTATATCCAAATTTTTACATACTTTTTGAGAGCCTGATTACAAAAAAGGTTTCATCATTAAAAGCCACATCCCAAACACTTCAACATAAGCAGCCTAGTTTGAACGGTGTACGTTTTAAAAATATTTTTACTCTCCCATTACCAAATTTAGTCATAAAAAAGTCTTATTTATCGGCCGATACCGATATGGTGGCCGATATATCGTGCATCCCTAGTATTTTTTAAATACATTGAATTATTGAAAAAGTACACATTTAATGATTTCAATTTAAGTTTTTTTAATAGCTAGTAAACTAGTAATTCTACACATTCTCAACTAATATGCTTTAAGCAGTGTATTAGTAGTTAGTTAGTATGCTACACTCTAAGAAAAGTCTGTAAAAATAAGGCACAATCTACTATGTTAATATGAAAGAATTTTCCGTAATGGTTTTTTTCCTGCATTTTAAATTATGCATTGTGTGTTTGGGTTACAGGGTTACAATGGATGATGGATAATGGATAATGTCCTGAAAGATTTTCCATTTTTCTTACAGTATACTAACTGATCAACAATCGCAGGTACAAGCTACTAACAAAGTGTATCATAAATGAACAATTATTCAATTATCAAATTATTCAATTATTATTCAATTGAACAATTGCAAATCTCAATTAACTCAATTCTCGTGATGTGTGTACTGCTAGGCATCTGTGGTTTCCTCTTTTTGTGTAATTTGGATGGAAAATGTGTGCCTTTTTATTGTCTGAGTCACTTATCAAAAGTTGCTAAAGGCTGCCAAATAAATTTGTTTAAATTGCTAAATTTGTTGCTAGGTGCTTTTGGAAGAAAAAGTTGCTAGGGTAGTCTGAAAAGTTGCTAAATTTAGCAACACTGCTCCTCAGTTATGTGGTTATGTCAATTTCAAATGCTGACAGCATTTGAAACGGCTCTTGAAAGGAAAATGTTCAAATACTCTTAAATACTGAAAGCACTGTTTGTTTATTGCTTGTAAGCCTAGTTCCAGACTAAAATAAATGTTTGAGCTGTCTTAACTGAAAGCAACTTGCACTGCCATGTCTTTGTATATATCAATGCCATTCTTTTGTCTCAAGATACACACCAGTAATGTTTTTTTCTAAGGCACGTTTAAGCTACTTAGATGTTCTAATTAAACTAAGGCCTAATCCTGGCTTAATCTAAGCCCTGTTTTATATTAGTTTATTTAAAATTATTAACATGCAATTGTTTTAATAAAATGTTTTAATGTGTAATTTATTTTTAAAAAGTACTTAATTACACATGGAATTACATTTGAAAAAGTTTTATTAAGACTAATCAATAAGAAAAAAATATATAGTTTTGGAATCTGACTGCGACTCCCAGAATCGGAATCGAATCGTGATGTGCCTAAAGATTCCCACCCCTACAATGATTTATTGCTTGTCTTTGTTGAATAATACAGAAGATAAAGGGCTTAAAAAATTATCGCATATTAAATCGCAATCGCAATATTGGTAAAAATAATCGCAATTAGATTATTTTCCAAAATCGTTCAGCCCTAAACACAAGGGTGAGTAAATGATTTAATTTTCATTTTTGGGTGAACTATCCCTTTAGGGGTTGGTTAAGGGTCAGGGTGAAAGACACTTAAGACACATAAAGTGGGTCTATTTATTTAATTCTTGTTGAAAAACGTAGTGAAATGTAA